AGAAGAAACTGAGCCATTCACTATGCAGTAATAATCTCTGAAGTGGAAAGAGCCCTCACATCTGGCATCCTCAGCTTCATGGGCTTGACCCATTGCAGGATCTTGGACAAGCAGTAACTCTGGTCTCAGGTTCCTTTGCTGCAGACAACCTCTTAGGACTAATTTTATAAAAATAAACTCTTCCTTTGATTTCCCTGACTTCTTTCAATACCTACAGCTCACTCTTCAATACTGCGTTGAAAGAGATTCTTAAGTGTCACAACTGACGAAAGCAGTACAGTCCCCTAGGGGATTATATTGTATTTAGAAGGAAGAATTACTGTCTAAATATAATTAGAGGACTGAGAAGCATATGATCCATGCTGTCTTAGGCTCCCTATTATAGGAATGTATTGACAGAAGAGGGCTGTATGAAATGCTTGAAAAGAAATTTTCAACTGATCTCTAAAGGCTTCAGAGTTAAGCTGACAGGTCAGTGAGAAGGAGAATGGTTAATACAACATAGATATGTCAAAAAAATGTTCTGAGAAATAGAACAAGTCAAGGATTGTGTTAGAAGCATAATATGAAAGTATAACCACACTCTGAATTACAAATAGGAATTGTTTTGTTTAACAGTCAGAGTACTGGGTATAATATTAGTTAACTTGGACTTGATCTCAGAAGCAAAGGGAACCTGGATGTGCTCCTGAGCAGAAGATAAGTTATTCCATTCGAAATCGCTAAGACCCTCAATTACTCGGGTGAGCTCATTCCTGTGCATGTATTTTGGCTTCAGTCACTTATCTGCAAATGGGGGGTTATTTGGGCTCCACCTCCAGCTTCTTTCTTAAAACCTCTACCCACCCCCAACTCCCTTTAGGACATCTGACACCAGGCAAAAAAGCCCAAGTTTATGAGGACCCAGCCAGACAAGAGGTACTTTGTTACTTCCATTGTTAACAATACCCTAGTCACAGAATTACTTCCTCCCACAACTGAAACACACTTGACAAGCCTATGTGGTTCCTGCTTCAGGACAGTACAGATTGACAACTACTGTTGGGCAGTCTCAGAGCTCCTGGATGAATTACCTGTACAAGAGAGAGCCCTGAAATTCATTAGGATATCACCTTAATAGCTTAAAAATTAAATAATCCTGCAAGTTAGGAAATAAATGTGAAGAACGGCATGATTACTTCAGGTTCAGGCTTTTCACTTCAAAGGAGATATACTTAAATTTCTTAGGCACTGAATAAAACCATCAAGCAACACAATGTCCTGGTGTGAATTGCAGATTATCATGTGTAGGCAGAAAAGACAGGTAATTACAGGTAATTATAAGTATGACTCCATCTCCAGAAGGTGCAAGGAAGGCTGGGATGCAACCTATGTGGAGGAGGTAATGCATAACTGTCAATAGGATCTAGAAGTGTCCTTACTTAGGTCGGCCTTTCAGAATCCTGTCCTGTTCTTGTCTCTGAGTCTAAATCCCACAAGCACTATCAGCTTTGTGAACATATTTTAACATGAAAAGAATTTGAATTAAACACAGAAATGTTTAAGAGAATCAAAAACATAACATCAATATTTCATGGTAAGGAATGGTGTATGAATAGCATTTTAGAAATGTATAATTTTAACATGCTGTCTATTCAGATTAGTTTTAAAAGGTCTGTTTATAAATGTGTAATTGACCAATTTAGGGTGACTTTATGAAATCTCACTAAGTTGATGCAGTATTGGAATATTTAAGAGAATTTTAATTTCTGCAAATTTATGTTAAGTTTAATAATTAGGTTCATAAGACTAAATTAAGAATTTATGGAAACTTGGCCAGTTTGTTAAAATATTTAAGAAAAATCTTAAAAACATTAAACTCAAACACAATTGGAAATGTTTAAAGGGAAATCTAAATTTAAAATTGTGTTCCCAGAATTAAAGTCCCCTTAAAACTAAGCATTAATCATTTGACCCATTTTTCCCACTTCTCCGTATGTACCCAAAAGACTTAAAATCAGTATACTACAGTGACACAGCCACATCAGTCTTTATAGCTGCTCAATTCACAATAGCTAAGCTATGGAACCAAACTAAAGGCCCTTCAACAGATAAATAATAAAGAAAACGTGGTATATATACAGCCATAAAAAAAAAGAAATGACTTTATGACTTTTGCAGATAAATGGATGATCTGGAGACTATCATGCTAAGTGAATTAAGCCAGTTCCATAACACCAAACTTCTGGATCTATTCTCTGTTTTTTTCTCTTTGTGTATTCCCTTTTCTTTCATTCTATTTATCAATCATTTCCTTATATTTGGGATGATTTTCTGACTTTTTGTCCTTGTCTGCATTGTTCCCATATCATCTGGCAATTCTTTCTTCACCTTATTAATCTACATTCAAGATAAAATCAGTACATCATCCTATAGTGATGAAATGACAAGGAAATGCCACTATGGTCACCTCCCATCGTCCCATCATCCCATCATCCCATTTTAACAATGAGCTGCAATCAGAGCTGCCAAGCAAAGGAGATCAGAGACTAGAGAAAGCCCTGGGGAGTTATTATCATGACAACAGCCAAGGCTGATATTGCTGTATATCACCTCCACCCCTCATTGTCATGTGTCATGTCATCACAGTGACTTTCCATCTGCAGGGTTTCATCTGTCTTGTAAAATGTCCCCAGCTTGGCTGCACTGACAAAAGCACTAAAAATCATGCCCTTACTTGCAAGGCTTTATTCCTCTGGTTATGGCAATGAAGCATGAGAGTCCCCTGAAGGAAGTGTGGCAAAACCTCAGGAATGAGGCCCCTAGGAGATTGGAAGAGTTGAGACAAAATGCAAAGTACAGGAGGAAACCCCCACCTGCTCTCTGATGAGGGCTTCCCAGGCAAAGCCAAAGGCTCTGAAAATAGAATTTCATATAATGATGGGAAGTAGGCTAGGATGCTACTTTCCCCAGGGTAGTCAGAGAAATGCCTCTGAGAAAGGACCAGCCAAGGAAAAGTGTCATTACCCCACTCAATCATTCTTATTCCTCCTTCTCAACTTTATTGATCTAAAATTATTGCCTCAAATTATAGATTTTCTGACTTTATATTTTGTGTTCCTCCAGTAGGAATATAAGTCTGATGAGGACAGTGATTCTGGCCTGAGTATCACTATGTCCCTAGCTTCTTGCACCCTGCTGGGCACATGGAAATGGCTTTGAATGATCCCATCATATATACGAGTTGATAAGCATTACCTGAAGATGATTTTCCTCATCCCATGATCTAAAGCTGAAGACCTCTTATATTTTTGTTATAAGATATTTGTCATGATTTCTGAAAATATGCTGAAATATAATTCTTTATAGATTAGAACCTTTACAGATTGTCTTTTTTGACCCATGACTTTATGGAATGATGTAAAGAAAATGCAGACTTTCCTATTTGGGCTCAATCACATTATTTGCTAATTTGTGTCATTCCATAAAAATGGTAGTTTTAAAATACAAAGTTGATAATACAATGATAAAGATATGATAGATTTTCCAATTTGTTGATCATTTCAAGGGCTAGAGACAGTGCCAGACTGTGACCTTTGAATTAAATCATAGAACTCACTGCATTACATCTTTCTTATATTCTCTGTGTGCAGAGACTTGAGAAATGGACAATTCTGCTCTATCATAAAGGCTCTAGAATATTTACACGTATCAATGATGAGATCCCAGGTGCTCACGCTCTCCTCTCTCTCTCTCTCTCTCTCTCTCTCTCTCTCTCTCTCTCTCTCTCTCCCCCAGGGATTGAACCCAGGTGCTCTTAACCACTAAGCCACGTCCCAGACCTTTTTATTTTGAGACAGGATCTCTCTAAGTTGCTCAGGGCATCTCTAAATGGGTGAGGTTGGTTTTGAATTAGGGATCCTCCTGCCTCAGCCTCCCAAGCCATTGTGATTACAGGTGTGAACTACCATACCCACTTCATCTTAATCATTGTAGTTATTCCTAGAGTCCCTGCTCAGGCCTAGATACCAGTGATGCCAATTTTAAGTAACTGTGGCTGACTGCTCATTCATTCTTTTGCTGGACTAGAAGAGCACCCTGAGATCTAGGACACACGTGGGTCAGAACAGATGATCCCCAGAGAACTATGGCTTGTGGGCATTTTCAAATGCCAGAGTGAACTAAGAAAACCTTTAGGCACCTGTTCTTTTCGAACTTTGTGTAACAAATGAATGTGTCTAGCTCTTGGGCCTGAGGAATCTGCTCACTTCTGTCTTCAGCGCCACTGTGATATGTACCAGACAGGGCAGCTTCTGCACTTGCCATGCTCTGGAATGCCAGGGGAGGCCTCAAGATTCAGTTGCCCACGTTTAGCTCCAGCTGCCCACAAGGCTGCCTCCTTTCCTCCACATTTGGGTCAGTCCTCTCCTGGGGACTCCTGCAGTCCTCCTCTCTTCTCTCATGGCAGAGACTGGGCTTTCTGACTGACTCTGTGTTAAGTTAGCTGTCCACATGCTTCCACTTTGAGATTCACGCAATGTGACAGCCAGAAAAAGGCCCTTGATACAGTCAATTCCATTTCCTCACTTCAGAGAGGATATGGCGATTACTAGATACCTGGAAGCAGGTTAATGATTGAGAGGTATGAAGCCCACAACTGGGAAAGGACCCTGACTTCTGACCCAGGTATTCTATGAAACCTTTTCCTTGCTTTAGATCCTCATCTACTTTAACCCAGGGGGTGCAGGGTGGCCTTTCTATGGTGGAATGACTTTTTACTCTTACAGCCAACACCACAACTCTCCTTTCCCAGTCTCTGGTGGTCTTGCAACCACATGTAGTGGGGACCATAGCTTTCATCTTGGGAAGATCACACAAGTCAACAGGAATCTGATCTACATTTCCCAGGGGAAGACTCAGGTACTTCAGAGAAAGCTGTGTCACCAAAAGGAATTTCTGTGTCATTCAGCTTCTTGTGCATCACCTAAGAGTGAGGTGTAGCTCAATAACAAAAACAAGGATTTGAGGTACATGCATTTATTTATTTCTCATTGCAGAAACAAGATAAACATTTATAGTTCTTTGTTCAATGAGTTAGAAATGGTAGCAAGAAAGGAACCCTGAACATATCCACAAGCAAATAAAGCCAGTATGTTTCATATTATGGACATCAAATGATACATGATGTGAGAAAAGTCACTCTAGTCCCTGAATACCATCATGTGCATGATGTACAAATGAACTTACCACCCAAAGTATTTTCAAAGTTAAAGTATTAAAACTCCCAAACTTTAACTAAATTAAAATCCTCTGCCTGTTGATCTCCAATAAAAGGTCAAGAAACAAAACCATGAGCAAAGACAATGCAAAAGTGAATAGGTTTATCTAGATAGACTAAATTACCATCAAAAATCACATCTCCTCTTCTGATTCTTGTTCTTGTTCAACATTTTTTAGGAGTCCAACTTCTGAAGGGCACTGTTTTTTAAGTCTAGATTTCACCAACCTGAGGAAACAGAAAACCATCTCTGTTAGATAATGTTTAAAATAAAAACTGAGGGTAGCATATATCTGTAATGCAACAACCACCAGATTTTTTGTGTGTGTAAATAGGGGAAGCAACTCAAAAAGGAAGATTGTTTTTATTTGGCTTTAGAGTTACATGAACATGTTTGTAGATTAAATCAGCTTATAAGTAAAAAGGTAAAATGTGACTTTAAAATGTGGTATGTGATTGTTTAATTGGGCATCAGAAGATAACTTTGATCATTTCTAAAACAAACAAGAGAATCCCTGGCTTGCAGCAAACCCAGATGAAACTGAGATCAGTGGCACTTCTCCATCAGTGATTGTAAAAGCTATCAGTGATTGCAAACGAGATGTCCACTCCTGTAAAGGAAAAGCAGGAAGCCACTTCCTTCCCTAGGGCTGGCACCCAAGGCAAGCCCCATGCCACGTCTAGCCTAGATTTCAGCCCCCATGTCCCTCTTCAGAGACATATTTCTCTGTAGGGCACAGGCCACTCAACTGTGATGTGATGGCTCTGTCCATAATGAATTAAGTTCAGAGAAGTTCTCTTCACCCCGTGACCATGTTCATAGGTTAAGAGAATCTAAACTGGGTTTGGGGGAAGTATCGATGACAATGTTTGACACTTGAAGATCTGAAGCTTCTTAGTGGCAAAAGCCCCACAGGCTCTTCAGTATTCTGATGTTAAAGCAAAAGACTACTAATAAGAACTATGCGGAGCTTTTCAGGTGCATCAATAAAAGATAGCTTCCAAACACACACAGAATTATGCAAACAAATTTAACAAATCAAATCATCAAAATCATTTTCCTTTTATGAAAAACTTCACTAGCTTACTCACATCTTTATCCTTATTTTCTGCCTTTCTTCTTCTGATGAAATTCTGGTCTTTCCTGTCAATATGACATGGTTTTACCTGTGCTCTGGATCCCACTAAAGCTTTATAATAGAAGAAATGTTATCGTGTTTGCTCCCTAACTCCAGGCAGAGTCTGGACCACTGTCTGGTACATAAAAGTGCCTTGATACACATCTGGCAAGGTAATGCCCTTTGGGGTAATCTGCCAGGAGTTCACACTCCCACATATTCACAGTGGTTGATTTTTCAGTCACTTCCAACTTTGTAGTGACTCCTCCAGCAAATAACAATAACTGAGCAGTATCATAGCGTCTGTTTGTTGAATTGAGAGCTAAGAAGAAACCCTGCTCAAAATCACTTGCCTTGGTGGACTATTGATGTTGCTCCCACTGTCCTCAACCCTTTTAAGTCATGGCACTCATGAAAGGTTAATTGCTGTAACAAGTCAAAGGCATTATTTCCACATTGTACAACTTCAATACATGTGAAATGAAATGGATTAATCCAATAGTTTAGTTTCTGAAGACTCTCATAGAAAATAAAATAATTCATGGCTGCTTTTTACAAATTATGTCAAGGTACAGAGACTAATGGCTCCTCCTATTACCTATTCCTCCTCTTTGAGTTGTATAGGCTGTTGCTAAAAGCCAACTAGCTGAGGCTGTTAGACACCTTTATCAGGCTCTGTTGGTGCCTGTAGCTGTAGGTTTTACACATATATAAATAGCCACCTGGGGCAGATTGAGAGATATAGAATAAGGCTACTATAATGATGCAAATCCCAGGAACTCAGGTCAGTATATGTCTACATTTTTCCTCCCATATATTCTCTTTATTTAATATGAGAAAGATTAGAGCTGAGACAATGGGTGCATTTCCAGGAAACTCTCATATGAATGCAATTCCAGCATCTCCATTTTCTTCTTCAAAAAGGCTCATGTGAATCACTGCTTTAAAACCTGTCTATAAATGCCAATACTTCCTTAGCCATAGAGAGGGACTCTTAATTGAGAGATGTTTAAATGTGAGATGCAGTTAAAGTACATAATAGGATTCCCAAACAGATAGGTGTCATCTCTGAGCTATGATAAAAACTACAGGCATGGGATTGGGTCAGGCAACCTTTGAACTATTGCTCTGGAAAACTGGGAAGTACAAGTTCATCTTTCAGAAATTTTGAGGATCAGTTCCAAAACCTAGTCATGATTCTATGGCAATCTTGGTGCTGTGTCAAATAGATTTTGATAAAATGTTCTGACACTTCATCACTTGTGCACAAGTTCTAAATCACTCCATAGTCAATTCCACACCAGTAGACTTGCAAGACTCCTTAGCCTGAAATTTAGGACTGGATTATCCAACTACACTAAAAGGAAGCACTAAATATTCATGATATTTTAAGCAATTGTTTATTTTATATCAAAATAGTTTAGAAAACCTGAACTCCTGGTCTTATTTTTCCAGGAGCAATAAGAGAACAAAAACTGAAAAACATATAAAACATGATTTCTGAGAAAATGAAGCTTATATTTAAGTAGTTCTGAAACAGATCTATTAAAACAGTAACAAGTATTTATTGAGCACCTACTCTATGTTTGACAGTATGTCAAGAAGTGTGGGAATATGAAAATATTCTTTGTCACAAGGAGATACAATCTAGCTAGCTAATAAGACTAACACATTAGCTAGTAGTCAACATCACCAGATAGGTCACAACTGTTAAAATATCTGGTGGAGATTAAAGTGATATAAAAATTCAGGAAAGGGAGATGAACAAGGGCTAGAGGGATCCCAGAAGCATCCATAAAAGAGATGTGTGTTTAACGCGGATATGCCAGGTAGAGAGAACTGCCTGATCAAAAGGATTGGAATAGCATGCAGCAGGGAAAGGGAGAGGTGGAAAAGAATGGAGTTTATGGTTTCCTGAGAACATTAAGTGGATAAAAAGTTCATTAGACATCTGAAGGATTCTGAAAGAGACAATGGTCTTGCTCTGAAGGGGAACTGAATGAAGTAGAGAATTTCCTTGAATTCTGGCACAATTCCAGAAAAACTGCCCTGCCCCTAAGGAAATGAGATGCAGGTGTCAGCCTAGAATAACAATAATGGAAGAAGTCAAGTTTCACTCAGTGGCAGAGCCCACCTTAACAAAGAGCTCATCATATCTGGGGTAGTAAAATAGTAGCAGTAGAAAGCGGACAATGAGAAAGCAGAATCTCTGGGCACCCAAAGCATCTCAGATCTCTCATTGTAGGTGTCTTCTCCTGGAAGCCCATCAGAGACATCTTGGAGTTAGGCAAAGGAAGTTTCATGAATCAGAGCCCTAGTACTAGAGCCACTTCAGCAATAAAGCACAAAGAATCACAGAGCAGGAGGGGTGGCCTGGGATCCATGTCTAAAGAAAGTGAAAATCTGGTTCCAGCAGAGGCTGAGACCCCACCAAGCCTATAGGCAGCGACTGCATTCTAGAAATCTGGAGAAACTGCTAGATGTGTAGTATCCCATAAGGTAGCACTATCCACGTATGGATAATTGGATTAACTAAAATTAAATGTGGACCTAGCCCCAATTCACATGCTCAATAAGTAGTGGCTACCATATTGAACACTGTATATATAGAGCTCTGCAGGGATAGAACATTTCAATCAGCACTGAAGTCTGAAGGATGAGGTGCTGGAGCCTTCATAGCTGGTAACTGGGATAAACCAAGTCAACTGTGACTTGGCTCTAACTACCTTATAAAGAGGAACCTTAAACACCCCATCCTTATTCCTACCTATTTTCAAGCTGCAACTTAACTTTCAATGGTGAGGAGCCTTCCCTGAGCTCCAGCGGTGTTTTCTTCTTCCACTATTTCCATTTGTTGAATTGCATTTCAATTGTCTCTCTCTCATTAATTTAGTCCTAACTAGCACCTAAAAATTTCTCATAGGCATCATCTGTAATGATGATCTCATTTAGGTATTATCATTATCCCAATTTTGCAAACAAGATGACAGACATATTGTGATTAAATAATTGATCTGAAAGTTATATGGTTATATTGTATGCACATACAAATATGTAATAACAAATCCCACCATTATGTACAACTATAGAGCACCAATGAAAAAATATGGAAAAATAATTGGCCTGACTAATGAACTAATAGGCAGCAGAAATAGGAATATATATTCTGTTATATTGCTCCTTACCTGTTCATGGAGTGTTGTATCAGGATTCTTGTAAAATAAGTGTATCATTCATTGTTTAGAAATATTACAGTCAATGCCAAGTTAACCAGGCATTCAGATTTAATGGGACTCATATGAGTTGGTCAAAAAATGGCTCCAAGCTTAAGAAATTCTATAATTTAAGGGTGTATGCATAGGTAAATGGAGGAATCACTGCAGGTGGGAAAGAGGAAAGAGCATACACAAAGACATGGAGACTCAGAACAGTGGACATGACACTGGTGCATGGGTCAAAGGCACAGCATAGATACTCTTGAGCTATTCCAACTGTTAAACCAACACATATTCTTTCTATTGGCAATTTATGCTTACAGACAAATTTCTGCAATGCTACCCTGTCTTATGGGATTGTAAGGAATATAATACCTTTTGAATTTTAAGTTCAACACTATCAAGTCTTGATGTTCATATATCAAGGAATGGAACTTTCATAAACAAAATTCATTAACTTACCAGGTGATAAAAGCATAATTCGCTCCAATGACAATGAAGGCCAATGCGTAAAGCCAACAAATGCCTACGGCAAGAAGCATGATGTTGTTATGATCTAGCAGATCCCATGCAGTACGTCCACCAGGGGGAAACAGGACAAAACCAATCTGTAATTTAAAATAAAAAGCACACATTAAAATAATGAACCATATTCCCAAAGATTGTGCACTTCACAATGCCTGACAACTAAGATAACTCCCATTATCTCCTATGTCACAGAGAAACATTAGATGTTTCTGCCTGTCTTAATAATACTGACAATATCTACCAAGTCACAGTTTTGAAAAAAATTAAAAGGACATTTAATGATCAATTTTCAGAATATGAACAGAGATCATCTTTGAGGATGGGTGGTCTTTCAGAATGTCCTAGGCTTCTATATTGTACAGTTTCATAATGCTATTTCAAGATTAGAGTGCAAAAAGGCTTTAAAATAAATAAATGCCCACAGATTATACTCAATGGTGAAAAACCAAATACTTTCCACCTAAGATCAGGAATAATACAAAGTTGTCTGCTTTCATCACTTCTAGTCATCATTTTACTAAAAAATTCCAATCTGAGCAATTAGATAAGAAAAATAAACAGAAGATATTTTTTGGAAAGGAAGAAGTAAAACTATCCATATTTACAAATGACATACTATCATGTATAGGAAATCCCAAAGAACCTACCCCCCAAAAAAACTATTAAAGCTAATAAATGAGTTTTGCAAATACAAAATCAACATACAAAAATAGTTGTATTTTTACACACAATGAACAACCCCAAAATGAAATTAAGAAAACTATTACCCTTACAATAGCATTGAAAAAGAGTAGGATGCTTAGGAATAACTTTAATCAAGGAGTCACATGCCTGGGGAAGTAATTCGGTGGTAGAGCACTTGCCTAGCATGCAAGAGGCCTTGGGATCAATCCCATTACCTCAAAAAAAAAAAAAAAATCAAAGAGGTTCAGGACTTGAAGATCAAAAACTATACAACATCATTGAAAGAAATCAAAGATCTAAAGTAATGAAAGTTATCTCATATTCATGAACTGGAAGCTTCATATTATTGAGATTGAAATGCCACCTAAAGCAATCTACAGATTCAATGCAACCCCTATTAAAATTCCAATGGCCCTTTTTTGCATAAATAAAAAAAGTTGATCTGAAAATTCATAGGGAATTGCAAGGAATCCAGGATAACTGAAAACAAAAAGAAAAACCAATCAAAACAAAAACATTGAAAAAAAGAAAACCAAAGGGGGAAGACTCACCATTTTGATTTCAAAACTTCCTATAAAGCTATAGTAATCAAAACTCTGGTATTGCCATAATGATAGACTTAAAAATCAACGAAACTGAACTGAAAGTCCACAATGAAATCCATGTATGAATTGATTTTTTAAAAATATTTATCTTCTAGTTTTAGGTGGACACAATATCTTTATAGTTTTTTTAATGTGGTGCTGAGGATCGAACCCAGTGCCTCACACATGCCAGGCGAGCGCGCTATCACTTGAGCCACATCCCGAGCCCCTCAATTGGTTTTTGACAAGGTGTCAAAGCCATTCAACTTTTGTCTTTCTTAGAGGCAAGGCAAGTCTGAGTTTTAGTTTGGACTCGGAATCTGGGCAGTCATGGGAATAATCTCTGAGGGGAAGAGGAGTTAGTAGAGCTAAGAGAAGCAAAGGAAACCATTGTCCCAAGTAGAGAGAAGAGAGAAGTGAGAACAAGAGATGCAGCTTCCTCATCCCCTGATTGTCCCTCATGCTGTCAGGAGGATGAGAAGCTTGGAAGTGACAAAGTACTAAATGAGCTATTGATATATACTCCCACACAGACACTGGGAAAATGTGATTCATGGAATTAAGGGTCATGAAAGATTTTCTTTTCAGTTTTGAAATTGCATGATATGACCAAGTTATTGAGAAAGCATTTTAAATGTAATGTGTGGTATGCGAAGGAAACCATTTTTTGTAGGCTGGGAAGAATATTCCCCTGTTTGCAGATTATGCAATCGTTTAAATATGAGTTATTAAAAAAACTAGCCACTCTGAACACTGGTCTCATGCAGTTCACATCTACTTATATAGGGTTCCAAGATTCCAGGTGGGCACTTTCTCTGATCTGTCTATATATAGTTTATGTTTTAGTATTGACCATACTTAGAGAAAAAATATGGTGAAAAGCAAATCACAACATAATATTGTTAGCTTAAGTCTTGCCCATAAATATATACCACACATACGAACAAGACATGAAAGCATAATAAATTCACCTACATTTATAGATATTTTTGTTTCAGAGGAATCCAAGAATGGGAGAGTTACATTACTTCTTATCATTGTGTGTGTTTGTGTTGTATTAAGTATTCACTCTTCTTTAAAGCTGCAAAATCATTTGGCTGGTCACCAAACAGGAAACTTGTCTAGACCTATTGGCAGGTGGGAAAACCTCCAAATAATCTAAAATTCATACCCAAAGACTTTAACATTGTAGCTCTTCCTTGGAAAAGCATTGGGGAAAATATGAAAATATTATTTCTCTATCAAAAGAGCCAAGATTAAGCTGACTTATTCTCAGTTGAGATATAACACAGCTTATTCCTTCAGATCCTAAACATAATTAATCATTAATTGTTAACTGAATATTAGTTACTTTTATTAATTCTACTATTATCTTTATAATTCTATTCTTCAAATCTCTGAGTTTTCTCTCTTGCTTTTACTATTTTTCTTATTTGAATATAAATATCTTTAAAGAAATTGATCTAGTAAATATATGTACCCTATAATTTGGATCTTAAATGCCCCCCAAAGGTCCCTGTGGTAAAGGCTTGCTTCCAGGGTGGGGCTATTGGGAGATGGTGGAAGCTTTAGGATGTAGAACCTAGTAGGAGGTCTCTAGGTCACCAAGGGGCTTACCCTCAAGGGGGGTTGTTGAACCCTAATCCCTTCATTTGTCTCTCTTCCACTTCCCAACCATGAGATAACTGATCTTGCTCCATTACATGCCTCCATCATGATGTACTGCCTCACCACAGCCCTAGAAGCAGCAGGGCCAAAACAAGTTGTAGACTTCAACTTCGGAAATCCCAGGTCAAAATAAACCTTTATCTTTACAGGTTGATCATCTCAGTCATTTGTTATAGCAATGTAAAATTGATTCATACAATATAGAATTCTGAACCCAACAAAGAATAGGTATATTTTCTTTTCAAATACATAGAGTATCTACTACCACTGACATCAGACTATGTCCCAAAGGAAGTCTTAATGAGACTCAAAATATAATTTCTGATCCCGGAGAAATTAAATTAGAAATGAATAAAAAGAATGTGTTTGGAAACTTAAAAGTGCACTCCTCGGGCTGGGGGTATATCTTAGTGGTAAGGTGCATACCTAACAAACACAAAGCCCTGAGTTTGCTACACCACACACACACACACACACACACACACACACACACACACACGGCAATCCTGAATAACTCATAAGTTGTGAGGGAAAGTACGTGGAAATGGCGATATTCAAAATTGCCCAAACAGGAAGTTATAGTACTATACAGAGGGAAATTCATAGCTGTAATTGTGTTTTTTTTAATAGAAAAGATTAAAAATAAATGAGATGAGAAACATACTAAAAAAAACTAGGAAAAGAAAAGTAAAAGCTTAAAACAAAGCAAAAACTGAAAATAAGAAATTGACAAATTCACAATTATAATATAAAACTTTAACAGCCACATCAATGTTTATAGCAGCATAATTCACATTAACTGAACTATGGAGCCAACCTAGATGCCCTTCAGTAGATGAATGTATAAAAAAAATATGGCATATATACACAATGGAATTTTACTCAGCAATAAGAGAGAATAAAATCATGGAATTTGCAGGTAAATGGATGGCATTGGAGAAGATAATGCTAAGTGAAGTAAGCCAATCCCCCCCCAAAAAATGCCAAATGTTTTCTCTGATATAAGGAGACTGATTCAGAGATAAATCCGAAGGAAAACAATTAAGAATATAGACTCTACAAACAACACAACTTAAAGAGTTCCAAGAGCCTGACTTCATCCCAGAACAACCACTCACAACTGTTTGCTCTGAACCTGAACCCGGCAGACCTGGAGCTCATCGCCGTTCCTGATGTGCGTTCCTATTCTGCGTCTGATCCACAAGGATTCTTGCCCTGTTTTTGTTCATTTGACTCACCCGTAGTTAGATTTTTTTGTTTTTGTTTTTGTTTTTTTAAATTTTCTTCTTCATTCATTATTTTTCTTTTTTTTATTTTCTAGAAGTTTTTTAAAAAATATTTTATCTGTCATTGTTGTTTCTGTGCAGCAGATCATATATTCTGAGTCATGAACTCACTGTGTCTTCTCAGGTTCAAGTTATCTCTTTCTAAAACATTTCTTTTTAATTTATTTTTGAAACTATTATGCATGTACATAATAAAACATTCCAATCAAGAGGTGTAGAGTACATAACAGTGTTTTATGTGCAATTCTATTCACTCAGTTTACGTTCCCAGTAAATGATAAGTAAACAAGACAATTTCTGTATGTTAGCTGGTTAAAGTTATCAGTTATCAATTTTATCACATTATAGGGCATTTGTCATTTTTTTGATAAAATTTTTCTTCAAAAAAACGCATGAATCTAGGCTCCTCCCTACCAGCCTCTGCTCTAATAACCCTTCTACTCCCTCAAATATTTAAATACCACAGCTGTCAGATCCTGTTTTGACCTTTTTTCTTCCCCTCACCTACCAATGCTTCTTTACTGTGAAGTGCAAATCCCTGAAACAACTTCATCATGTCATGTCCCTGCTCTCTGGCAACTTAACATCTCTTCTGAGAGGGCTTCCCTAATTAAAACACATTTTGCATCCATTCAAGACTTTCTTTACATATACATATGTATATTGGATTATGGTTTATTAGTCTCTACAAAATATATATGCACTAATTGGAAATGATAAATTTCAACAATGCACTGAGATTAAGGAGTGAACATCATAAAATAGAAAGAGCCTGGGATTTGGGGTCAGACAAAACCAGATTTATATCTTAGCTCCAATATTGTGTGAACCTGAGAAAGTAACCAGGTCTCTCTGAATCTTCCTATTGGTAAATTTGACACGATATCAGCTAACTTACAGATTGTTGTGCAAACAGAGTAAAATATAGCGTGTAAAAATTCAGTACAGTGGCCAATAGATAGTTGTTTCTCAATAAATAATAGTTTCCTGTTTCCTGCCTTCCATATGTTCCTAAGCTCACTAACAATTAGGCTGTAATTTGCTTTAGCATGGGGATCTGCTTTTGACTAACAGCATTTGCTCAGAGTTCCTACATAAAAGATATTTATGTATGTGAGGAAGCGGTGCATACCCTACTTTCTGCCCAGCTGCTCTGACAATAACTCTACCAGAGCTGCTGTGCCAACCAAATAACTTGCCTTCTCAGAGACCCACATTTTCACTAGAGACAGCAAAGTAGAGGGAAGTGTCTGGAGGTCTAGGAGAAAATGCCCCATTAAATGAGGACAGAAGTTATAGGCAGAGATGTCTGGTAGATTAGCTGGAGACCCTTACTCACCTGCCAGAACCAGCATCCCTGTAGCAGGACGAAGCTTGACCGCAGGAGCTCCAGAAGTATATTTTTCTGTGTGAGGAACTCGATAAAGGCCATCAGGCCTGTCAAAAAGCTGACGAGGACCAGCAGCTGGTGCACAAAGATGTCCAGCATTTCCCGGCCATGAGTGTGGTTGTAGAAGATAAAAGCTAATAGAGGGAGGGGAACAGTTTGTCTTTGTCAATGAAACCAAATGCTGCCCACTGCTTGTCTCACTCCCTCTCTCTGCCCATAGAAGTTTCTACACACACACAATTGTTCAAAATGGCATGTCCCCACTGCTTCCCACAGGAATGCATTCTTGCATTTTCAGAGTCATTGTTGCCTTCTCAGAATGGAATATTTGAAATCTAATACTTTCCCTTCCCCAACCTTTACTCTGTCCTCTAACATACCATGACATTCTCCACTAACTGTATTTCAAAGCACCATCTACACAAGATGATGATTAATAAATATGATAGGTGACTACAGAGAAGAGCAGGCTGAAGCTGAAGCCTTGCTCTGAGGAACCAGCTCAGGGAAGAAAGAAACACATCCATAAGTCACAATGGTGGACCTTCCAGGTATGACAAGTTCCCAAGACATAGTAACTAACTGCATTTTTCATTCCATGGACAAAGTCCAGCTTCATCTTAGTCATTTTCATCAGATGTTTGTTCCAAACATAGCAACACCTGGAAAGAACAAGAACCACGCTTCTGGGTGTTGGCACCTATCTTTCATCCAGTCCTGTTCTTACAGAAGATTAAGCAGAAGTCCTCATCTTCAGATGTGGGAGGCAAGGGCAGCAGTTAGGGTGTAACCAACTTCTAATCATTTGGGACTTTTGTTGTTCTGTAATCAATCTATTTCTTACATGTACAATAAAAAAATCTCTGAACATTTGCTTTCTCCTTTTTCCACATAGTCAACTGGGAAAACAACTGAATAAAACATATTGTTTTTCAATAACCACTCAAAATTAGGACTTCATGTTTTTATGTGACTGAATTTTTGGACCTACTTATCACATAATTGCAGAGTTTTATTTCATTAATATTTTTAAAGGTAGTTAGTAGACAGTGAAAGCTGTTCTGTGGTGAGTTGCTGCCCCATCTCAGGATATCTATGCTCCTCTATGCTGAGTTCAGTTTTCATTCATAAAAGTAGAAATAATAATTTCCAGGACAACCAAGAGATAATGAAACACTGTAGGTGGTTCTTTAAGACAGATGTGAAATATGAATAAAGCACATTTGAATGACTATGCTTGCCCAGTTCTAAGTGAGTCAGTAAGGAAGGTCTTTGGCAACCTATGTAGGACACCAAAATACATTACGAACAATCACATCAAGATACCCATCAATCACAGTTGCACCAAGACAGCAAAGATGTATTATTATAAAAAGTTACACTAATTATTACCATAAATGCCTAGTAATAGAGAAAGATTTAGAAAAAAATACTCATTCTTACACTCCACAAAGAAGGCATTTGACATCATTAACTTGATTAAGGAGACTGGAATTGAACTGACGGTGGAACATAAGATGCAGGCCACACCCAGCAGTCCAAAGAAGGAATATAGGGTCAAGTGTTGCAAACGCAGCACTCGTTTCCATGGGATTTCGTTGTGTATGATCAGGTGGGGCCCTTCAGCAAAAAACTGTAGACTAATTATACCTGTAGAGAAATATATTACAGTTTTAGAAACCCTCTCTGTAGCTTTGTCTAGCATGCATGAAGATACAGAAGGATTTTCCCATTGACTATTGCAATCTGATGTCCTGTTATGACAGTGATTCCTCTCTCTAGACTGTTGCCTAAAAGCTTAGCACTGGAGCTTTACCCTTGTTTTAAAACTTCAAATGCTGGTTTGGATCAATTTTAGTCACAGACAATTATAGGAATCAAACAACTATTTCAGTTCTACAATGCTGATGATTTGAGTTCAACTATCTATTCTTGTCTAACAACTAAAGTAAATCCTGAATGATTTAGGGTTTCGGATCTACCAGATCAGTCTTATAAAGGCTGATTACTTTCTTCCTAGATACTACATCTTTGGGTAGCTGCCACAAAGTAGGGAGTTATACTTGGTTTCCAATAAAAATGCTCAAGAGTTCAGCTTTTCTCCAACTAAGGATAACTGAGAAGGCCCAGACAGAGCATATAGTTAGTTCAGTTATTAAAACATTTACATTAGAGATGCTACCTTATTTGTTAATCTATAGAATTTGACAAGGGAATCTCTCTATTTGGAAATAGTTACTCTGTAATTTGATAGTCATAGTAAAGCCTTGTATCATGAATAAACTGTGTAAATATTCTCTTGCACATGAAAATATCCAGAAGGAGAAACAGAACACAGAAATGATCCACTCACCAATCAATGTCATTTTCCCATTAGAAAATGGGAGGTTTTATCTTTTTATGGAGGAGAGACTGCAGTGAACTCCAGAAACACAGAACACTTCATGGAATCCTCATGGGCAATGGGAAGTTCTTAGAAGCTATCTGCCCTAACCTCCTCCAATTCAGGAAAAAAAAAAAAAAAAGGACGAATGCATGAAGCAAGGTCTTCCTCAGCCTTGAACTCTCTCTACAGCTGATCAGCAACAATTTATCATTGAAACTTTCCCATGAATGCTTGATTATTTTGGTGTCACATCCAAAATGGTTTCTGATTGGGCTTGTTCTTTCAAGGCTTATAACAATTGATTTAAAAGTATTTCAGAGGCTCCAATCCATTCTATAAAGGAGATTCACTTTGACTGAGTAGGCAAATGAACTACCATGATGAATTCATTAAGAAATACACTTTTGTATTAACACGAAATATCACCTAACAAATTATATCAGATAGAATACATTTAGAATATATATTGAGAGATGTTTTGAATACAAAATCCATTTTAGCAATTTCTTAACTTTTTATTGAATATTCTCTTGCACAAGAAAATATCCAGAAGAAGAAACAGAACACAGAAATGATCCACTCACCAATCAATGTCACGGTAACTATTGCAATTCCCTCCAAAAATTCTAATCGCTGGAATAATGCTTTGGATCCAAGGTAGCAGGTCTGCTTATGCTTTTTGCAGACATACTTCAAAATACTCTTTGTACTCCACCAAAGACCGAAGACAAAGAAGAAGACTCCAGGGAGGGCATGACCTGGGAAATCCCCGAAGACCTATAAAGTGAAGAACAAACAGAAGAAGACATTTCATTTTGGAAACTTGGACCAAACATTTCCTTTTCCTGTAGAATATACTGACTTCTGATGATCATGGGTACATAGCAGATCCCACTGGAATATCCACAATACCAATAAAAGATAATAAAAATTTGCATTAACACACCATGTATTAGGCATTAGGTCAAGTATTTTTACATGCCATTTCTAATTTAATTTTTGAAACACTCTGACTGAGGAATTATTATTCCATTTTCAATTGAGATACAAGTTTAGAGAAGTTAAATGACTTGCCCAGATCTCACAACTATTAAGTAAATGCTTTGCTGTTTTTAACATAGAGTTCAAGAGGGTTTCTTAAAAAGTTAGTACAAACTTCACTATACAGTTGCCTTTGCGCATATTTAAAGAAAAGTAATATAAAACTATGCCCTTTTGTTTAAAATTTGAAATGTGAAATTGCCTACAAACTTTTTAAAGAATCCAGTGTGTGAAAGAGACCACCAATGTTCATCAGATATGTGTGTGCTTCTCCCTACACTTTCCCAGCCTCTTCTCCAATTGGATTAAAACTTTAGTTTTAGTTCTGGCTACAGCATTAAATGTGAAATTGGTGCACGTCACTTGGAGGCTGTGTCGATAAAGTCTATGTGATTCCTCCCCCCATCCCCCTCCCCTGTCCCTCACTCATCCCTTACCCTGGCAGCCTTGGGTACATAGCAGATCATACTAAAATATGCACCACAATACTAATAAAAGAAACAACCAGTCTATTTCCAGTTTTCCAAGAAACAATCCTTTATTACCATAAGTCATTGAAACGTTGAGGTTTATTTTTTAAGTAGCTTAGCTCCACTTAGCCAGATATATACCAACCCAAATCATATTGTAAATATTTGTTTACACTATTGTCACATGATAAAGTTATCTCTGACTAATAACCAGAAATATGCTCCATTTTTATCAGTGCTACAGAAAATCCAATCTTGATTTCTAAGCATTTTTAATTATGGAAATAGTAATTGATTCAAACAAACAAATGTATTATACCATCAACAAAATAATGAAGTGACAGGCCAGAACCATCCTTGTGGATCTAACACTAGGCTAGGCACAAGAAAACTCATGAAAGGAGGTGTTTAGGATTCCGCCTGGTCCAGTAGACTTCCTTATCTCCTTGAGTGAGAACTGAGCCTCTCAGTTCAGGGCATACCCCTGTAAGCTATTTCCATACCAGTTGATATAAAGGGAACCTTCTAGGGATACTGTGAAATTGACCCTAACACTACAAGTCTCAAATTTCCAACCGAGACCCCAGATACTCATTGCAGTGCACCCTTGAATCATCCAAGCCATCCAAGAGAGTCAGACTCTATACAACATGGTGCTAGGGACAGGTTCTTTTCCTAACTCTGACTCATGGTGTGGTTTGAAGCATGTTCCTTAACCTCTCTGAGACTTGGTTCTTAATCAATAAAAAGAAAAAGAGCACTCATACACTATTAAGAGAAATGCAAATTTGCTTTGGCAAGCAATTTGACCGTAAGTAAGACTGTGGAGAGTACATATACCCAGCAACTCAGCAATCCAACTTGTAGTACATACCCCAGAAAACTCTTACAGGTGTTCTTTTGTATATGCCAAAAACTTTTTTAATTGCTGCATTAATTGTAGTAACACAAAATTGAAAATAATTTAAACATTAATTTATAGAGAAATTGATAAATAATGTGTTATACATTAGAATGTGGTACAACAGCTGAAACATTTTAAAATTTAAAGATTAGTTCTATGTTTAACAACATGAAGAGATATTTAAAGCATTAAACTGGGTGGATAATGCTTAATGTTAAATACTGCTGTATTTTGGTACAATCATATACTGTTGTTAAACACTTGAATGTGATTCATTGTTCATATACATATATAAATGTAAAAGTATAAAAGAGAAACTGAAATGACGCACACAAATAATAATGGTTTCCTTTGAGGAGAGAGTAGAGAAATAGAAATGGGAGGGGCAAGGGACACGTAACTGTAATATTTTATTTCTTTTACTTAAAAAAGTTATTCTTGCTCCACATTCTCTCCAGTATTTTATGTTGTATAATTGTTGTATAATTTTTAATATAATTTAGTATTTTATGTTGTATAATTGTTGTATAATTTTTAATATAATTTTTAATAGGTGTATGCTGATATCCCTTATAATTTTAACTTGTAATTCCCTTATGACATAAGATGTTCTTCCTATATGCTGATTTACCATAAGTACACCTGGAAGAAAATTATACAAAACACCATGTCTACATAGTTAAAATGAGTGTATGTCATATTTTTATTCAGTTTTCATAGTTCTTTGCACTATATTTTTAAAGCAATGGGCTTTATTTTTTCAGAGTAGTTTTATATTTGCAGAAAATTGAACAGATATTACACACTATTCCCACCCCTCAGTTTCCCATTTATTAATTCTTGCTAATAGTACAGTATATTTGTTATAATTGATGAACCAATATCGATACATTATTATTAACTGATGTTCATGATTTTTGTTATAATCACTCTGTGTTTAATATTTCTATGAGTTGGGTACACTGGTAATATCATATATCCAGAATGATAGTATTTCATAAATAATATCCTTTAAAATCTGTGCTTCACCTATTTATTCCTTCCTCCCTCATCCTGAGCTCCTGACAACCACTGATCTTTCTACTATCTGTATAGTTTTGCCTTTTCCAAAATGTCACATAATTAAAACCATATAGTATGTAACATTTTCAGACTGGCTCCTTTCACTTAGCCATATATATTTGTTTCCTGCATATCTTCTTGTGACTTGAGAGTGCTTTTCTTTTTAATCACTGAATAATATCCCATTATGTCAATGCACCAGTTTTTATTTTTAATCCATTTCTCTTTCAAAGGCCACACTTCCAAATTTTAGCAATCATGAATAAAACTATTAATAACATTCATGTGCAGGGTTCTGAATACATATAAGTTCTTAACTCATTTGAGTACATATCAAGGAGAACAAATTTGTAAGAAACTGCCAAAATGTCTTCCAAACTAGCCATATCAGATTCCCCCAGCAATGAATGAGAGTTCTTGTTGCTCCACATTCTCACCACTATTTTATGTTGTATTTTGAGTCGTATCATTTTTAATAGGCATATGCTGGTATCCCTTATAATTTTAATTTGTAATTCCCTAATGACATAAAATGTTAAACCATGACGCAAAGAAAAGACCACCGACTCCAATTTAAATCAAATTAAAATCAGATTAAAGCAAGCTTGTTATTCCGACCAGTTGGGACTGTCCCTCTCCCAAAATCTATAGGAATAGAAGATAATACCCCAGCTCTCTAGGAGCACAGTTTTATAGAACAAAAAGTTGCAAAAGGGGGTTGTCTTGAGAATTTACAAATAACAAGATTTTGACAAGCATAATACAAAGGCAGGTAGTAGGTTAATGGTCTAAATGGTTCAGCACTTAGGGAGTAAATTTGGATTTCAACATCAGAATTTATGAGGTGCCACTAAGGTTTCAGAGAGAGTTGTTATCTGGTCAGGAAAAACCAGGCCTGAGTGAGTTCAAGGCATGGGCAGGCGTTCCAAGCAAGTTTAGAAATCGCAGAAATTTATAGTAAAGCATAAATTAACTTTTCATGCCTTTGTGACGAGATGGTTCCCAATCTGAAGAGGGAATTAGGCTGGGTTTGTCAAAGATGTTCTTCCTATATGCTGATTTAACATCAGCACACCTTGTTTGGAGAGGTGTCTTATCAGATCTTTTGCTCAATTTTTATCGGGTTGTTTTTCTTATTGGTGAGTTTTAGGAGTTGTACTTAATGTTCTAAATGTATATTTTTTTATTATATATATGTTTTACAAATACTTTCCTCATCTTTTTGCTTTCTTTTTACTTGGCATGTCTTTTTGCTTTCTTGACACTGTCCTCCACAGAGAAAAAGGTTTTAATTTTGACAATGTTTAACGTATACATTTTTCTTCTATATTTTGTGCTCTTAATATTATATTTTAAAAACTCATTGCCATGCCCAAGATCACCTGGAACAGAAGACTCTGTTGTCTTATAGAAGTTTTATAGTTTTTCATTTAATATTCCGTTCAATAATAAATTTTGAGTTAATTTTATGAAATATATAAGGTCTGTGTAGATTTCTTTCTTTCTTTCTTTCTTTTTTTTTTTTTACATGTGGGAGTGATTGTTAATTTTATCTGTCAGCTTGACTAAGCTAATAGATGCCCAGATTGCTGGTAAAACACTATTTGGGTCTTTATCAATGAGGGTTTTTCAATATAGATTAGCATTTGAAACAATAGACTAAAGAAGATAGGATTGATGGGCATCATTCTGTGATGAGACAGAAGTCTTGACTATAGTGACTCCATTTTGTGAAACAGCCATGTCAACTAGAAAGGTCATGACTGGGGCAAGTTGTTTCTCCTTTTGTTATGGAAACCCTTGAGAACACAGAACTGTCTACCTGGGCTCTGTTTCTGTACCTGGGGTAACTGGGCTTATAATTGGCTAAGCCTCCCGCCACCTGACTGCAATCTCCAGCTTCTGTAACTTGGCTTGCTTGCATTGACTAAACCCCCAAATGTCCCTTTTGTGGTTTTTTGGCTTAAATATGAGGCCAAACTGAAGGAGGTGCACCACTCTGACCATCTCGATTTTAGAGAGTAGAGTGTCCGCCCTGCCAGCAATAAAGCCTTGGAATGGCAATGTGTGGGCTGAGAGTTATTTGAGGGTCTCGGTTTCGGTATAACAATTCAATCCCTTCTTTAAGGCCAAAATGGAACAGAAAGTTAAAGGAAGGATGAATTTGCTCTCTCTTTCTGAGCTGGAACATCTATCTTCCCATGCCTTCAAAGACCAGAAGTCCTGCTTCTCAGGAGTTAGACTCTGAGGCTCACATCAGCAGGCCCCTAGTTCTCAGTCTTTCAGACTCAGGCTGAACT